CTGAAACCTTTCATTATGCCCAGCTACATAATTTTTGCAATCGAGTGTTTGTAGGTGCAAGCCCAAACCCCTTTCCATTACAGAATTCCACAAGTGACACATGGGGCGGGAAAAGGGAGTAAACACCCCCTCTAGTTTTATTCACAATCCATTACGGGGGATAGAATGTGCACCTGGAGAAACAGGCATCCCTTCTCAAAACTCCCTCGCAATGCCGTGTATGTGCTCCATTGGGAGGGTGGGGGTGGAATTACATCTGCCTCCCACCAGCCCTCTCAGGAGGAGCATCACGAAACCGGGGGTGGGAGCAGCTCCCCCATTACAGTGCTACTCATGGGGGAAGGAGAAATGTAGGGTACTCCCCGCTCCTCTATGCTAGCCTTGCAGCCCAATGGGCATGGGGGGGCTGCGCCCCACCCCTCCCAGTGGGACTACGGGGGGACAGCACTGGGGTAGGCAGAGAACTGCCCCTCCCCCACAGCACGGCGAGGGGCCTAGTGCCGGGGGAGGGGGAGTCAAAGCGGAGACACCCCCCCTGTCGGAGCCCCGGTCGTGGGGGGAGCAGCCCCCCGGGGAGACCCCACCACAGTGCCGGGGCAGCAGCCCCATGGGGGAGGGCGGAGACTCGCCAGCGCCCGCAGACCGTAGGGCGGGGGCAGAGCCCCCCCCCCCGGCTCGGCCCCTCCCGGAGCCTCTCGCTCGCGGCCCGGTTGCCTGGCCGACGCTGTAAGGCGCGGGGAAGCCGAGCTGGGCCCCGGCCCTCGGGCCCCAGAGAGGCTGGCCCGAGCCATCCGGCCGCGGGAAGCCGCGGTTACCGTGTGTGGTGGCGAATTCTCGTGGTGTTTGTCGAGCGGCTGCGATAATGGCGTCCTTCCTCGCGAGAGATCTCCGCGTCCTCACTGCGCAGGCGCCGCCGCGCCGCTGCCGCTCCCACTCCGTCCCCCGCCCTCCCCGAGAGGCTGCGCAGCCGCCCAGAGAAGCCTCCTCGCAACCGCCCTTAACCGCCGCACGGCCAATGTCGACTACAACTCCCAGAAGACAACGCGTGCAGCCTGGTGGCCGGCGCTCCCGTGGGGCAGGCCGGGATGTGTAGTACCATAGCGTGCAGCCGTACCTGCTGGGAGTTGTAGTCCAAAGGAGACCTGGATCTTCTGTGAAAGCTGGGGCGCGTAGTTAGCCCCATTTCATGCCAGTTAGATGCCACCCTTGGCTGATTACATCCCCATGTCCCCCAGAGGGATGAATTTTGGGAGTCCATGAAATCTCATCACCTTGAGCTGGGGCATCATGATATCATGACATGGCATGACATCATCGTGCAGCATGATGATGTTTTCACACACTGGCACCACATGCAGCGCTCTCGCACTGAGTTGTGGAGTAAGCAGGGCCGGCTCTGGCTTTTTTGCCGCCCCGGGCAAAAAAGCCTCCCGCCGCCCCCCGCTCCCCAGCGGGGAGCGCGGCAGGGGAGGGCGCCGAGCCCGGCTGCAGCCCTGCTCTCCCTGGCCGGCCACAGCGCTGGGAGGAGGGCGGCGAGCCCGCCGTGGCTCCGCTCTCCCCGGCGGCCGGAGCGCCAGGAGGAGGGCAGAGAGCCCGGCCGCGGCCCCGCTCTCCCTGACC